CCCAGCCTTCCAAGTGCTGGGATTACAGGTGTGTGCCACCACGCCCGGCCAAGTACTTCTAATATAGATCATTTAGTATATAACATCTTCCATTTTGCATCTAAAACCAAAAGAAGTGGAAATACAAGGCGTGAGCCTAAAAAAAAAAAAAAAGGCATAAGCCTGCACAGCTAATAGGAGGGGGGCACACAGGAAAGCCAAGGGGTGGTTCAGAAACCTTGCCTGACCCAGCTATAAATGAGAAGGGAGGGAGAGAGGGAAAGAGGCCACTACAGCTGTCTTCTACAGTGGGCAGACCGAGAATGAAAAGGAAAAGGTTTCATACAGGTGGCCCAAGGTATCCCTTCTACCTGCCCCTAGTCCCACGCACCCACCGGGCACCAAACCATAAAGGAGGCGGACGTGTGGGTGTGTTCATGACATACCGTAGAATCCGTTGGGTACTATCAAAAGGAAAGCAAGCATATCTCTTCTTAATCATGGTGATTGTTATAGTTTACATTCACTTATTAGAGTCTGATCCAAGCATTTGACACGTATTAAATCCCTTAATTCTAACATCAATCCTATGAGTCAGGTACCAATATTGTCCCCACAGTGTAAATAATGAAATTTAGCACAGAGAATTATGCAACTCCGGTGTCAACTTGACCACTTTCTTTCCTTTCCTTTCTTTCTTTTTCTTTTTTCTCTCTCTTTTTTTTGAGGGTCTCAGTATGCAGTTCAGGCTGGCCTTGAGCTCATTTTGTAGCCCAGGCTGGCCTTGAACTTGCAACGATCCTCCTGCCTCAGCCTCCCGAGTGCTGAGATTACAAGCGTGCACCACCACGCCCAGCTTTTCTCTTTTTTTTTTTGAGACAGGATCTCACTGGCCTTGAACTCAATATGGCCTTCAGCTCTCCAAGATCCTCCTGCCTCAGCCTCCTGAGTGCTGGGGATTACAAGCGTGCACCACCACGCCCAGCTTTTCTCTTTTTTTTTGAGACAGGATCTCACTGGCCTTGAACTCACTATGGCCTTCAGCTCTCCGAGATCCTCCTGCCTCAGCCTCCTGAGTGCTGGAATGACAAGCTTTTCCTGCCACACTCCCAGCTATTCAGCTTGACCACGTTCATCTCAGTCTTTGGGAGATTCCCCATCTACGCTCTTCCACCCTATCCCACCAGTTCCTGACCAGCAGCTCCCAGTGGCATGAAACTTTCTTTCTGTCTTGTTCAGGAGATCAAAGGGCCTCACGTGGAGAGAACAAATGCTGAGGGAAAAAGCAAATGAACAAGGAAAATTCACACTTGGGGCTGAGAAACAGATGGTGCAGAGAGCTGGGTGGTGTGGGGGCTTGACCGCCCCCCCAAACCAGATCAGTCGGGGCTTGGGAGAAATCTCTCCTAAGGTTTTTATTTCCAAAGCTGGAGATGTTTTGGAGATCTAGTGCATGGAGCTGAGGAGGTTGCAGGCCTTCAAATTTTTGCAAAAGAAAAAAAAGCATCTGAATCTACGAGGCATGGCGGAATCCATGAGTGAAGCATTTTGGCGTCCACCGCGAGAGGGTACAGCAGTGAAGTCCACAGTGCGGGTCAACCCGAGCAAAATGCAGCTGCGTTTATATTCTGTCTTCTCCTTTGTCCTCGACACGCCATGATCTTTTCCTTCTCCAAATAAATAAATGTCTTCTTGTAGACTGGGGTCTGGGGCCTTGGACTGGGAGTAGGATTCCGGGGAAGGGACCTAACCTTTGCATTTCAAGAGGCGCTGTGAGTTTTTTTGAGCCTAGCTCTGTGGTGAGGAAGAATTGATTTGGCCTCACCCTCCCCTGGAGGAATCTAATGGTCCCTTCTGCTGTGACCAAAAATCAAATGTCCCAGCTGCCCCTCCCCTGGGCCCACCCCCCACCATCCTGAGGTCCAGCTGTGCCCTAACCACTGCACTTCCTCCGCAACTCTCGGCCCACCGGCCCACGACGGACACAATGTGGAGGCCCACAGACACCAGCAAAGGCTCTGCCAGCTTGTAGTAAACAACTGCAAGCCAGAGGAGTTTCCTTTCTGCAGACCCTGGCTTGTACCCTCTGTCAAGGTGACCTCTTTGGGGAAGTCAAGCTTGGTAGCAATTTCAATTAGATATAGAAAAGCAGTTAATAGATTTTTTTTCAAAGACAGGGCAGGGCGGCAGCCTCCGGGAAAGCTCGGCCTCCTCCTGCGACCCCTGCCCTTCCTCTGCAGCCCGGCTGTGCCGTTATTGATAGTACTGCCTCTCCCGCAGTGCCACCAGCGTCGCGGGGAAGGGACCCAGGGCTGGAGCCGCTTACGCAGGCTCCTCGTCCTTTGCTTTTGCACTGTCTCTCTCTCAAAGGTCACAGATTAAACCGATGGGGAGGGGAGCAGATAAGACCCCCTCCCCTGGGTGACCCCGTACCCCGGGGTGCCGCAGGGGGGAGGGTCACACGGGATGGGGTGGGGGGTGGGCCGGCATCGAACCGGGGCCCAGAGGCTCGGTCACCCTGACGGCCTGCAGGATGAGTGAGAGATGGCTGTTTGCTGGAGGCCACGGAGCTTCCGGCGGCCTGGCCCCTGCCTCCGCTGGGCCAAAGGTTTGCCAGAGGGACTTGGCAGGGACAATAGCTGCCGCAGGCACACCACCGGCTTGTTTGGAAAACCCAGGGGTGCTTGGAGGTAAAAAGGTCAGCGCTGAATCCCGGGGATCTCGGCCGCCCCAGGCTCCTCACCCACCCCACAGTGGCCTCCCCCAGATCACCTCCTTCGGCCGGGGAAGTCACCTTGAGCCAGGCCGACAGGCACTTGGGGTCTGAGACCAGGCACCCTGCCCAGCCGCTGGGACTTTGATGGCCCAATGGCGGGGCTGGGCAGAAGGGCGCCGGCTCTTGTGTGTATCACAGGGAGTCTGTCCCGAGTAGGAGCAGGGGCCTTGCACACCCCACCCCTACCCAGCAAAGTGCTGGGGGGTGCAGGCAGCGTTCCCCCCTCCTTCCACTGCAAATGCCCCCATCTTTCACCCTGTCCAAGCAGATCTGCGCACCACCCTCTACTCATGCTTGGTGGCTTTTCCCGATAACAGTGGGCTGAGCCCTGTCCAGCCTGGGTGCCCGGGCCCATTCCTTTGGGGTCTGCACCCAGGGTCCTCCTCCTCCTTCTCCTCTGATGTGAGGCTCAGCTTTTCCAACCCAACCAGCAGAGCCAGCTCTCCTCACCCCACGCCCAGGGCTCAGGGCGTCGGAGGAGCGGAAGCAGGAAGGGAGAGGGGAAACAGGCTTTATTGAAATGAGGTAGTTGGGGTACACACAGAACATGGCTGCTTGGGGCTCAGTTTTCCAGAAACTCAAATGGTGTCTCCACAGACTCCAAAGTTCGAGGAATGCTGGCTGCTGCTCTGAGACTCCCGCTCTCCCTCTCTCTCTGTCTCCCTCTGCGCCTGGGCCTCCCCGGGCTTTCCCCAGGGGTCGGGGTGGAGAAGGGGAAGAATTTCCTGGGCTTTCCGGAAGGCAATAAATAGGGGGGGCAGGCCCACCCCTTCCTGCTGGAGGCTTGCTGGGGGCAGGCCTGGCACAGCGTTCTAGAAGGTTTTGAAGTACCGGGTTGGGTTCCCAAAGCCAACCCTCTGGCCATTTCCTGATGAGGTCGATAGTGGGAGGAGGCAGAGAACTTGGGGAGCAGCATTAGTGCAAAAACGTTCTGGAAGGGGGTTCATGGGGGGCTTTTTGGTCATCTCAAGGCAGCTGGTGCAGTGGTAAGGTCTGCGGTGACTGCGGAAAGGGTTGAGGATCAAGGCTGGTGATAACACACCCGCACCCAAACCCCTCCCACACGGGAGGACGGCCTCTCTGTCTGCCCCGCTCCCTCGCTCCATCCTGGTCGAGAAAGCAGTCCTGAGTGCTGAGGACGGTCCTCGAGGCTCAAAGGCACTGTGCTGAATTTACCCGAGTTGGAAGGGAGGGAGAACCGGGAAGGCTGGAGGCCCCGGGCTCTCACCCTCACCCCCACCCCACCCACGTGTTGACCTTGAACGGATTCCCAGATCAAAGGGGGACACGCTTTCCTTTCCTGCACCTTGGACAGGGTGGGGGGTGTCTCCCAGGCCTCTGGTCCTGCAAGATCTCCAGCCTTGGGGGGCCCCAGCCCCGCCAGCCCCCACACCTGAGGATAGCGTTTCCCGGCCCCCTGCCCCTCCTCAGGCAGCTCTAAACTGGCGCCCCATCCTTGGCCGGGGTCCCCAGGGCAGTGAGGCTGGGGTGCCCAGGAGAGGGCTCCCGCGCTGGGGTTGGGGTTCAGGAGGTGACGGAGCTGGGCGAGGCTTCCGGGGAGGTGCACGCGGACTGGTCCGAGGCGTCTCCAGCCGCCTCCTTGGGGCAGCCTGCGGGGACGGGCGCCACGCCGCCTCCCTGGCGCTCGCGCTTCTTCTGCTTCATGCGCCGGTTCTGGAACCAAATCTTGACCTGCGTCTCGTTGAGCTCCAGGGTGGCGGCGATCTCCACCCTCCGCGCGCGGCTCAGGTACTTGTTGAAGTGGAACTCCTTCTCCAGCTCGGTCAGCTGCCGCGTGCTGAAGTTGGTTCGGACCCCGCCGGGGGCGCCCGGGCCCAGCTCGGACACCTTGGCTGGGGGCGGGGCGGGGAGGAAAAGCCACGTCAGTCCTCACCTCGTCTCCCCCCACCCCGCTCCTCCCAGCCGCGCTCTGCACCCTCCTGCACCACTCCGTGCAACCTCCAGGCCCCGCGGCACCCCAGGTGGCCCCGAGCTGGAGCAGCCTCCCCCGCTTTTCTTCTTCCCCCGCTGCGCCCCAGGCCCTGGCGACCCCGGGAGCGCAGATCAGCAGTGGGATGTGCGTGGAGGCCCGCTCTGGGGGGACCCGACCCTTGCGGGGTGGGGGACCCACGCCCCCACCCGAGACACTGCGGAGCGCACTTACAGCCTCTGCCAGAGCCGCTGAGACCAGAAAACCCCGGCCCAGGCCCAGGACACCCCCTGCCGGGGCGCGGGGAGGGGCGGCCGCGCCGGAGCCCTACCTGTCTTGGGCGGGTTCCTCTTCACCTTCATCCAGTCGAAGGTGCGGGCCGTGGGGGTGCTGGGTTCCGACGGGCAGGGCGCGTCCTTGTCCTCGGAGAGGAGCTCCGCGTAGGCCGGTGCGAAGCTGGCTGCCTGCTCGCTGGCGTACGGGGGCTGCGGCCCAGGGTAGGGCCCCTGGCCCGCCGCGCCGGCTCCGTAGCCGTCGGGCAAGCCCGCCAGCTGGGCCCCGTAGCTTGAGGGGTGAAAGTAGCCTCCATCTCCTTCCGATGCCCCCAGAGGGTAGTACTGAGCAGGCCCAAAGCTGGGGCTGCAGGCGGCTGGGGCGTACCCCGAGGGCGCGGAGCTGGGGAAGGGCACCCCCAGCGCTGAAGGCAGCTGCTGGCTGGGGTACCCCGAGTTCTGCTGGAGGGCCTGGCTGGGCAGCCCCCCACCATAGCGACCCTCGCCTGCGTAGCTGTCAACCGCCTGGCTGGAGCTGGGGGGCAAGGAAGTTGGGGCGCTATGGGCACCGTAGGCGCTGGGTCCCCGGTTACAGAGTGGGTACTCTAAGAAGGAGTTCATCCTATTATAGTCCATGCGTGGAGGCCGCAGGAGGGTCAGCCCGTTTCGGGGAGACACCCTCTTGCCCTACAACCTTTCCGCAGTATGTCACAGCGCTGAGGCCCACATCCATGGCCGGGCCAGCGCGCCTGGGCAGCGGTCCCCCAGGAAGGGGGTAGGGAGTGGGGGTGGGGGGGGCACATGTGATCGCTCCCAGGCCAATGGGCTAAGCAGGCCAGAGTTTGGCAGCCCCAGTGCCCATCCATCACCCCCCGAGCATTAGCATGACAAAGACACTTCAATCACCCACAGCCCATCCATCTGAGAGCGACATGGAAGCGTCAAAAACATCTTTCTTCAAAGACTTTTGGAAAGAAGGCACCCGAGGGAGGGGGGAAGTTTGGAGAATATTCGAGACTGTCCTCTCCCCCCAGCCCCCAGGGCCTTCAATAGGTTCCCGGGTTATTAGATTTGGGTAAATTCAACCCAGCTGCCCCAAACTCTTCCCGCTCCACAAGAGGCCTCCCCGCGAGGCTGCCGGCCCGGGGTGGGGAGCCCAGCCCCCTGGCTTGGCCCAGACTCCTCCGCTCTGCGCATCTTTCCCCGTTTGCCTTGGGGTGGCGGCTTAGGAGAGGGGCGGCGAGGTGTGTTATCTTGGGCCAAATGGATGACTGCGAAAGGAGGGGTGCAAAAACACCTCAGGGGGTGGAGGCAGGGTCTAGAATTCAGTGAAGAATTCATTGCCAGGGGCGGAATGGCATTTCAAGGAAGCACGACACACCGAGGAATTGTGGGAACCGCGGCGAGGGGGACGAGAAACGCCTGGTTCCTCTCTCCACCTCTCCACATAAACGCTCTGCCCTCATTCACACATCCATTTCTCTCCGTAAGCCTCTCTTTGTATTCTCTCTGTCTCAATCCATCTCTCTGTTTGTCCATCTCTCTCCATATTTATATTCGTCCCCTACCTATCCATCAACTCATCTTTCTGGATGTATTTATCCTCTCCCGAGTCATCCACAGCGGTAGCTGGCTCACTCAGTCAGACTTAAATACCTCACTAGATCTCTCCCGAGAGCCTCCAGGTGATGTTTACGGCCGGGTGAAGAGGAGGGGAATTTTTATTCTCTTCCCAGAGTGTTTAAAACTAGTGGAGCCCCTGCATTCCTCTGGTTCCCTTCCACCACCCAGCATCTCCTTCCAAGACAATTAAAGATAGAAAAACCCAGGCCTGGAATCAGCCACGTGATAACCAGTGAAGTCTCAAAGATGGCTCAACATGTCCACGAATGTTCTAGAACAGAGAAAGGGGGCTCGCTGGGAGGGTGGCAGGATGGTGTGGAGCCATCCCCGGGGCTCTCAGAATTCTGAGTCACCCGTCTCTGCTCTGTGTGTCTGTTGGGGTGGACTGGCGGAGGGGGACCGGAAGTGCCTTTCCTGCTCTCTGAGCCCCTGGACAGGCCTAGCAGAGGAGCCCTTAGGTAAAGCCCTTGGATTCTCCTCCCCCGGACTCCAGGACAAGAGCTCCGCACAGTCCCACACCCACACTCATTTGTAACCTGTCAGGGAGTCTGCCCAGCCCGCCGGAGGCCTGGGGCCAGAGCTAGGGCAAGTCCAGGAGGGCAAGAGTTCAGGGAGGGGACTCTGTAAACAACTCCCCACAGGACAGGAAGGGGAGACAGGTGCTGGGGTCCAGGGGAGGAACCTGGAACCTTCTCAGGTCTCCCCACCCCAAAAAGGGCAGGATGTGCGCTCATCCTTCCACGAGGGACCCCGATATTGCCTCTCGCTCTCTGAGTCTCTCTGTCCCCTTTGTTGTCCTTGTCTGCCTAGAGCCGCCCTTCCTGCTGTCCCTTCTGTGTCGCCAGGAGCACGTGGCCTTTCTGTCCCCTTGGCCGCCCCGGCTGGGAAAGAGCACCCAGCACTTTGCAAGGCCCCTGTCCCGTGTTCCCTCACTGGGGAGGGTGGGGCTGCCAGCACCTTGTCCAACAGAGACACGGAGGAAATGAGTACAGGGGAAATGTTCCTTCACCCGGGGAAGGCGGAGGAGAAGGAGCAGGGAGCTGGGAGAAAGGCTGGCTTGCAAAGAGATGAAAAAGAAAAGGGTTACTGAGGTGGGAGCAAACAGATTTCTTTCCACTTTTTTGGAAAGGAGTTTATAGTTGCTTCCAAATATCACCCACCCCCCGCCGCGCACCCCCCCTCCCCCCGCCTTCTGAACCAGGGTCTAGCTATATAGTTTAGGCCAGTCTTGAACTCACCATGTGGCCCAGGCTGGCCTCAGACTCACAGCAATCTTCCTGCCTCAGCCTCTTGAGTGCCGGGGTTACAGGTGTGCCCCACCTCTGGCCTGTCCCCTCATTTAAAGATGTCTTCAACAAAAATGGGCCCTTTGGGTGAAGAGAACTACGATTTGTCTTCTAACCCCAAGGCTAGGTAGGCCTACGTCTGAACTGCCTCCCCCTCTCTTCCCCTCAGGGCAAACCTTCTCTCCCCACCCCTTGCCGGCCTAATTAAGGGGCCAATTTGAGGTCTAAAAGAAGAAGTCCACAGCAAAGCTCTTTAATAAAACTATACACATCTGCCTGGAAGTTGGGAGATGCTTCCCCCTCCAATAGCTGGCATCAGCAGGAGTCTGTCATTAATGAAAGGAGGATGAGGCTGGAGGCAAGGCTGGGACAAGAGTGCCTTAAATTGCCTTGTCAAGCAGGGTGTGGTGGTGCACATCTGTAATCCCAGCACTTGGGAGGCTGAAGCAGGAGGATCTCCTTGAGTTTGAGGCCAGGGTGGGCTATAAAGTGAGTTCAAGTCCTGTCTGAAACCCTGAGACCCTGTTTCGAAAAAAGAGAGAGAGAGAAAATTACACTGTCAATGGCAGTGATTGCTTTGGCTGCTGTTCTTGAAATGCACTATGCTCTCTAGTGCACCTTCTTTCTTGCAATAGGTACATTAAAAATTTCCATGGGGCCAGGGATTTAGCTCAGTGGCACAGTGCCTGCCTGGCAAGCGTGAGGGCCTGAGTTCGATTCCTGGTACCCAACAACAAAGTGACCTAAAGGAACTTGAAAAAAAATTTCTATGAGAGTGATAGTGCACATCTGTAACCCCAGCACTTGGGAGGCTGAAGCAGGAGGAGCGCTGCAAGTTTGAGAGCAGCCTGGATTGCATAGTGAATTCAAGGCCAGCCTAGACTACAGAGTGAGACCCTGTCTTAAAAATAAAAACATTCCAGCCAGGGATGGAGGTGCAGGTCTGTAATCCCAGCACTCTGGGAAACTGAGGCAAAAGGATCACAGACTGGAACCCAACTTAATGAGACCTTGTATCAAGGTTGGGGGGTGGTGCTGGGGCAGTAGCTCAGTGTAAAGGTCCCAGGCTCAATCCCCAGTACCAAAAAAACAAAAACATTGGGCCGGGGATATAGCTCAGTGGCGTAAGCGCCTGCCTGGCAAGTAGCAAAGTCCTGAGTTCAATTTCCGGTACCCAAAAAAAAAAAAAAACAACAGACAACCTTTCTGAAATTCTGATGGGATCGGCTGTCCCCACTCCGCAGAAAGGACTAGGAGAACCAAGCGGTTCTCCCTCTGAACCTTCTGGGGCGGAGTAGCTGCTGGATATGGGATTTCCTAGTTGGCCAGAAATGAAACATACTGGCCAGGCCGCTCCGCAGCAGAACCCTTGCCCAGGAAATGTGAAACCCTGAGTTCCATCCACAGTGTCATAAAAGAAAAAAATCCAGTGACCATATATAGATGTTGACAAAATGAAACGCCAAAACAGGTATGGGGTAGACCCGACACCAAAACAAAGCAGGTTTCCCAGTTCGTGTGATCTGCTTAGACACAGGCGTGTTTAGAACTGAAATTACCCTGGAAGGTTGTTGGTCTTGCCATGCTGACAGTGCAGATAGAGGAGCCATTCTGACCAGAACAGGGACAGGATAGGAGTCTACACCCAGGTTTCTGGTCTGGTCTGCAGGGGAAGCTCCTTGGGCAAGGAGCTGACAGGAGAAAACCGAGAGTTCTGCAGTGTCTCTGTCTGTTCTCCCCTGCCCAGGTTTGGAAAGCCAAACCCAATATCAGAAGTTTGGAACTTCAGAACAGGAAGGATACCCAGGGTTATAATTTTTTTTTTTCTTTTTGAGACAGGGTCTCACTATGCAGTTCAGGCTGGGCTTGAACTCACTAAGTAGCCCAGGCTGGCCTCAAACTCTAAGCGGTTCTCCTGCCTCAGCCTCCCGAGTGCTAGGATTACAGGTGTGCGCCACCACACAGGGTTATAATTTGTTCACTAAAGGAGACGGCTTCTTGTTGCTGTTGGGGGAAGGATGGAATCTGAATTCAGCATTGTTTATGCTAATGCAAGCTAATTAAACTGTCAGGGATCTGGCTGAGACAGTCCACTGTGGATGGTACATCTTGTAATGGTTTGAGTACTAGGGAGGGGCCAAAATCTTTGGGTCATAACTTTTTTTTTCTTGAGACAGAGTCTTGCTATGTCTCAAACTCATGGGGATGCTCCTGCCTCAGCCTCCCCAGTGCTGGAACTGGTGGCCTGGCTCCACTTGGCCATATCTTAGCATTATGACCCAGGAGAAGTTTCTTGGCCTGTCTGAGTCTTAGCCTCAGAGACGAAAAATGCGTTTAATACCACTTACTCTGTCAAACCACAGAGAACTCTGTAGAAGCAGGACACTGGCGTTACGCGCACCTCCTGAAACAGCACAAGACAGTCTTCTGTTTTTTAATATAATTAGCATATTAAAATATGGAAATGTGTGATGAGACAATAGCATATGTGCTATTCTTTTGTGTAGGTTACCACCACGTATTATACAATACGTGCTTCATCATATGCAAATTTCATTCACAATGGAGCAGGTTGACAGTTTAAGCCAGGGGTTTTTTTCTAGACTGAGGAAGGCTTTGATTTTTTTTTTTTTTAATCTTTTTGAGACAGGGTCACACTCTGCAGTTCAGGCTGGCCTTGAACTCACTTTGTAACTCAGGCTGACCTGGAACTCAAAGTGATCCTCTTTTCCTTTTTTTTGTGCCGGGAATTGAACTCAGGACCTTGCACTTGCCAGGCAAGTGCTTGTGCCACTGAGCTATGTCCCCAGCCCTGGAAGTAATCCTCTTGCCTCAGGCTCCCAAGAGCTAAGATTACAGTCATGCACCACCACACCCAGCTTGAAGGCGGTTTTGAAACTAAGGCCTAAAAAAAAAAAAGCAAAAACCAAAAATTAAGGCCTAATATTCAATATGCGTAAAAACATAAATGATTAAACTTATCTCAGGAAAGTTTGAGGTTGAATATTAGGTTTTGTTTGTTTGTTTGTTTGTTTTTGTCTTTTTGAGACAGGGTCTTTCTCTGCAGTTCAGGCTGGCCTTGAGCTCACTTTGTAGCCCAGGCTGG